ACCGCTCCAGCTTCAGCAGCACCTCCGAGTCCCCCACACGGAGCCTGGTATGGTGGGCACCAGAGGGGGACCTCAGGGACAGGGGTCTCTGAGGAGGAGGGTCCCGGGGCTGAACCCTTCCCTCCCTCTGTCCCCAGAGCGAGCGGGAAGAGCTGACGGAGGATGGGGAAAGCAGCATCCGGAGCTCGGAGGAGGGCCCTGGCGACAACGGTGAGTGGAGGGAGGGTAAGGCCCAGGGGCAGGAAGGGATCCCAGCGTCACAGTGCGGTGGGCTCCTGCTGCCTCACACCCCGTCTCTGCCCCTGGCACCTGCAGTGTTCACAGCCCCGACAGAGAGCGAAGGGTCAGGACCAGAGGAGAGGAGCCCTGGACAGCAGGTGAGGTGATGCTGGCACCGGCCCCAGGAGGCCAGGTGGGGAAGGAATGTCACTGACCCACAGGTGGGTGAGAACAGGGTGAGTGGGAGGAGCACTGCTCCATCATTTATTCTCAGTCGACAGCCTACAGGGGTGGGCCATGCTAGGGGGAGTGGTCACAGGAGGCAGGGGTATGACTCTCCCACCACGCACCCAATGCCTTTTGCTCCCACTCCTGTTCCCCCAAGGGTGAGCAGTTTCGGGGTGCAGAAGGCAGCAGAGTATCCCCTGCTCCATCCTGGCCCAGTCCCCCTGGGGTGTGTGAGCACAGCCGACAGGAGAGGCTGACCTCTCCTTATCCTTGACCCAGGAGCCTGTGTCCCACCTCCCAGCCTCAGGTAGCAAGGTCAAGGCCAGTAGGTGGAGTGAAGAGGGTATGGCCCTCCCATCACTGACCCAGAGCCCTCCCACAGCCCCCCAAACACCCGCCGCGGAAGGACGTGGGCCCCATGTACTCCTATGTTGCGCTCTACAAGTTCCTGCCCCAGGAGAACAACGACCTGGCTCTACAGTAAGTCCTCCTTGTGCCCAGCCCCTCCGGGTGGCCACTCGGCTCCAACCTCAGAGCTCTGCACTCCCAGACCTTGGGACATGAGTGTGAGGGGGCCTTCAGGAACCTTCTCCTGGCAGACTTGAGGCTGCTGAGCCCAAGAGGAGCAGAGCTGCCCCGGGTCTAAGAGGGAATGGATGCTGATGGCATGGCTCCTGCCCCCGCCCCAGCTCCGTCCTGGCAATGTCTGCTGTCCTTGCGGTCACACAGTCCCCCTGTTGAGGGCATCAGGAACCCTCCTTCAGCTGAGGGGGGTATGCAGGGGATCTGGGGTCCAGGACTATGGGGATCAGAGGGGCAACACACCCTGCCCCCTATGCTGCCCCGCTCTCTCCTCCCAGGCCTGGAGATCGAATCATGCTGGTGGATGACTCTAACGAGGACTGGTGGAAGGTGACTGGGCAGGGTGGGAGGCGGAGGGACCCTGGTAGGCATCTCGCCAACCTCTGCCCTCAACGGGCACTGCCCCACCTTCTCTCCAGGCCCCAAAGACCACTCCTCCTTCAGCCCCTGGCTCCAGCCAAGCCTGGGACCAACCCTCAGACCTTGCTCTTGCCTTGACACCCCCACCCCCGCCCCAAGCCACCCCAGCTCTGTCCCTCTGCCCACCTAATGCCCTTCCCAATGCAGAAGCCACCCAACTGGGGGCTTGAATACAGAGAACCCAGAATCTGGCATTGGCTCTCAGTGGTCACTGGGTCTAGAGAGAGCAGTGGGGGTGGGGAGGTGGGGTGGCACTGGTGCTCATGCCAGCCTCATCCCCAGGGCAAGATTGGCGACCGGGTTGGCTTCTTCCCAGCCAATTTTGTGCAGCGGGTGAGGCCGGGCGAGAATGTTTGGCGCTGCTGCCAGCCCTTCTCCGGGAACAAGGAACAGGGTTACCTGAGCCTCAAGGAGAACCAGGTGAGTGCCTGGGACCTGCAGCGGCTACAGGAGGCAGGACTGCGGGCCCTCTAGTCCTCTCCTGCTGGGACTTGGGGTTGGTGGCACAGGCAGGGGCCTGAATTACAGGAGAGACGGCTTTGGGGAGAAGAGGAGCACTGGATTAGGAGTCCAGAGGCTTGGGGTTGAATGGTGGCTCTGCCTCTGGCTTGGTGTGTAACCTCAGACAAGTTCTGCTCCCTCTGCGATATGGGAGAGGGGCTGCGTTAGACCAGCTGATCTCAAAGTCAGCCGCAAAGTGCTACTCTGTGTCTGCTGATGTCCTGGTCTTGCTGCTGCACCCCAGACCTTATGGGATCTGCTCCTATCACCCCAGCGGAGGTCTCCAGCCACATCTGATGCCTGTTCCCTCATTCCCGGGAGCGGGCCCCCAGGGAGCCATCAGCAGGACTGGGGCCAGGGCTGCAGGCAGTGCCAGGCCTGAGCTCCGTGTCTCTCTGGCTCAGATCTGTGTGGGCGTGGGCAGGAGCAAGGATGCTGACGGCTTCATCCGCGTCAGCAGCGGCAAGAAGCGGGGCCTGGTGCCAGCCGACGCCCTGACCGAGATCTGAGAGGAGCCAAGAGAACCCAGATGCCACCCCTGCCTGTGCCTGGCCCTCGCTTCTGGTCCCGGGAGGGGAGCAGGCATCTGCCCACACTCTTCCTCCCGCTGCCTCTCTCCTAGCGGCCATTCACCATGGCTTGGGAGGCTTCTGCACTGAGGAAGGTTTCATTTCTTGGGTCCCTCGGTGTCCTGAGAGATGTGCTCCTCTGGGACTTGGGGATGGGGGTGGAGGAGAGGATGAGGGGATGGGGAAGTTCCAGGTAGGACCACCTTGTGCCCAGGCACCCCCAGTCCAGTTGCCGTGCTGAGCCCAGCCCTGAGGGGCATTCTGGGGGGAACGTCCCTGCCGCTTCTTCCCCGAGAGCCTCCCTGTGCCCACACCAGCTTTGCATGACTGACACGCCCTCTCCCGCGGAGCCTCTGCTTGGGTCCAATTGTGTGCGGCCAGCTACGCTGCCCGGTGGCCGTGAGTGCCTTCCCGGCCTCTCACCCTCCGCCCCACAGTGCTGCCCTGTGTCGCCCCAAAGTGCTGCCCTGTGTCGCTGACAGACGGGGTGGGAGGGGATTTGGGCCACGGGAGGGTCCTGAGTCCATCTCCTGGTCTCACTGCCTCTGTCACTCCATCAATTCTCAGGAAAGTCCTGCAGGAACCTCTCCCGTTACTTGAAATCTGGGCGGACAGAGGAGGGGAGGGCTGAGGGCTGAGGGCGGGAGGATGTGTGGCAAATCAAAGACTGTCCCCTGGAGTCGAACAGCCACCATAGAGCAGCCGCACCCCACCCTGGCTCACGGGAAAAGGACAGCCAAGAGCAACCTGAACTCAGAAACCCGACTGAGAACAAAACACCCCCCTTTCATTGTCAGGACTCCAAAAGCCCCTCAGCAGCAGGACCCACCAGCCAGGGGCGCCTGGCGGGAGGCCCAGGAGCCCAGCCTCAGGGCTGACTTCCAAATGGCCTTCCTCACCCCCCTCTCTGCGCTCTGCAGTGAGGGTCCCTTTTCTGGCTGCATTTGCTCCCTTGTCCTGGACACAGAGCCCTGGGAGGAAGGGGAGGGAGCGGCTGGGAAGGTGGGTGGTGGTTTGGCCACCAGGAAAGGAAGGGAGAAGGCACCGAGGGCGAGGGCGGGTGGGCACACGGAGATGAACACTCCCTCGCAGGCTGCTTTTCTCTGGTGCCAGTTTCCCTCTCCCCCCAGCTCAGAGCCTCCTCTAGTGTCCTTGGTCCTTGATCGTGCCAGCTGACGCCACCCCCACCCTGGGCACATCCATGCGGTGGGAGGGACACGTGGTCTTGCCCACTGGCCCCTGCCCCACGTCTCCCCCGCCCCGCGCAGAGGGGGACTCAAGCCACACTGCCCTGTTTGCTGCCATGAGGCCCCTCAGCAACGCCCCAGGGGCGGCCCGTTGCCCACTGTACATCCGGCTGCATGACGGTCTGCTGGGGCACCTCCAAGCCCCGGGACCCCTAATTAAACGTTTCTTGTCCCAGCCGTCTGCTCTGTGTCTCTGCTTGGGAACGAGGGAGAAAGGGGCAGGGAGTGGGGTGGGGGCTGGGAGAGCTGAGAGGAGGCCTGCGAAGGTGCTGGTCTCTGGGAGGGGTGCTGGGGCTGACCTTGGAGGGGTCCCCGAGCCTCTTCCTTCTGCTCGGGCAGCCTCAGATCGGGAGGTGTTTGAGAGAAGGGGCTGCGGAGAGCCAACGCGAAGAGCGTGGAAAGGACCCCAGGAAAGGGGGAAGCAAGGTTTGGGGGTGCGGGAGGGG